AAGTATTAAGAAGTCTGAAAATTTCAAGTGTTGTGGAACAAGAAGAAGGAATAGCGCATGCATAGGCAATGGGTGAAGCAAGCAATGACATGAATTATCACAAGTCTTGTGAGAAATTCTTGTGGTTTTGCAATTTAAGCAAAGATAGGAAGTAGGGAAAAAAAGAAATTAAAGAGGCTGATAGATTACGTAGGGCCTTGTTTCCATGCTGTGACATTGGTGTTTTCCCTAGAAAGAAATGGTCAGACTTTGAAGGATTTATCCTTGTACAAAGATTGCTCTGGAAGCAAAATCTTGATCGGTTAGGAGGGAGCGAGACTGGAGAAACCAGTTAAGACACTGTTACACTGTGACACAGAGGCGATGAGAGCCTAATGAAGACAGCAGCAATAGGGATGGAGAGAAGGCACTGTATACAGAAGATACTAAAGAGTAATATTAATAGAACATCATCACAGATAAGGCAAGAAGGATAAAAGAGCAGGAAAGTAATAGAAGTTTCAGGCGTGGCCAACAGGATAAATGATGATGAAATTTCCTGGAATAGGTTTTCTGCTTTTCTAAAATGATGAATTCATTTTGGGGCATGTTGATTTAGAGGTATCTTTGGGGTCTTTCTTTCTATGGGGTCAGTTGTTTCTATGGGTCTGGAGCTCAGCAGGAAAAGGATTTAGATTTAGCAGTCATCAGTGTATTAATGGTTGCTGAAAGCCCTATTTGTGGGTGATATCATGTATATAGAGTGTGATGGGAATAAAAGAGGGTTAAGGGCAGAATCCCAGGGATTCACGTCTGAGAAATGGATGAAGGAAGAGAAATCTGAAAAAGAGACTATAAAGGAGCAACCGGACTGGCAGAAGAAAAACAGTGGACTTGGGGAAACAAGGAGAGAAGGACCTATCTGGCAGAGGCAGGTATCACAGAGACATTAAGACAAAGACTGAGTGGTGGGAATGTAAATTGAATCACTATGGAAAACAGTATGGAAGTCCCTCAAAAAATTAAAAACAGAGCTATCATATAATCCAGCAATTCCACTTTTGTGTATTTATCTGAAGAAAGCAAAACCTCTAATTCAAAAAGATATATGCACCACCATATTCATTGCAGCATTATTTACAATAGCCAAGATATGGGAACGACCTAAGTGTCCATCAATGGATGATTGGTAAATAAAATGTGGTATAAATATAAAATGCAATATTATTCAGCCATAAAAAAAGAATTAAATCTTGCCATTTGCAACAACATGGATGGACCTCGAAGGCATTGTGCTAAGTAAAATAAGTCAGAGAAAGACAAATACCATATGATCTCACTTATCAATGAAATCTAAAAAAAAAAAAAAAACTCATCGATACAGAGAACAGATTGGTTGCCAGAAGCAAGAGGTGAGGAGTGGGCAAAATGGGAGAAGGGGGTCAAAAAGTACAGATTTCCATTTATAAAATAAATAAGTCATTGGGATGTAAGGTACAGAATGAAGACCACAGTTACTAATACTGTATTGTATTGAAAGTTGTTACGAGAGTAGATCTTAACAGTTTTCCTCACAAGAAAAAATAATTGTAACTATATATGGTGATCAGTGTTGTTAACTAGATTTATTGTGGTGATCATTTTGCCTTATATACAAATACTGAATCATTATGTTGTACACCCCAAACTAATACAATTGTTATATGTCAGTTATACCTCTATTTAAAAAAAGACAAAGACTGAAAAGTTACCACTCAATTTACTAATTGATGACCAATTTAAGAGGGCCTTAATCATCTTGGTCTAAGGCAGAAATATATGGTCGTGGGTTGAGGGAGTGAATAAGAGATGAAGAACTCATGCCGTAGTCTTTCCAAAAGCTCGGTTGTGATGGCAGTAGGAAGTGGAAGCCAGAGGAGGATTGTGTTTTTCTTTTTTAAGGTTATAGCACTTGGAAGATATGTACATATTTGGGGGAAAGAGGCAGTCTAGAGGGAGAGGTTGGTGTGAAAGGAGAATGGGACTGAAACACCAAAGCAGCAGCAGGAGGTGGTAAGCAGAGTTTCACTTTAGATGGGAGAAGGGTTCCTCTTGCACTGAAACGAGGTGGCTAGAACGAAGAGGTCAGTGTGGGCATGGGTGAACGTGCTTCTAAGTGGAAAGCAGGAAAACACACTTCTTTCTGATGGCTCTATTTTCTTAGTGAGATCATTTTCTGACAATAAAACTGGAGATGTGAGGCAGGGATTTGAATGTTGTTGAGGGAATGACAGAAGGTGCTGGCTCAGCTCATGAAGAACACAGTTTGCTGCCAATCACTAAGGGCCCACATGTGGCTGGAGACCACTAATTCACTTGGTGGCAGCAGTCTATACTCTGTGTGTGTGTGTGTGTGTGTGTGTGTGTATCTTCTAGCAGTGCTCAACCACCAGGGTGTATACAAAATTTAAACAATTTGAATGGTTGGATCAAACTTCTCTGAGATTTTACTCGTTGAAAAAGAAGAACAGGAACTGACATTTATTGAGAGAACTTGGACATGGCAGTTAATCTCTCTAAACCTCAGTTTCCTTTTCTATAAAGTTGGACTAAAAATAGTACCTGTCTCACTGGGTTGTTGTGAGAATTAAATGGGATAATAGAGTTTTTTTCAAATTTTTTATGGTGAACTTCAATAAGAAATATGTAGCCTTTTGTGAGAATTAAATAAGTAACTACCAGTCCACAATGCCTTTACCAAAACATTTGGAGACTTACATGTTTCCAAATTCAGAATTTGGAGGATTTTAAGAAAGTAATATGGTGACTAGAACACATATTACATAACACCCCGATAGGGCTTGGAGAAGTATCCAAAATCAAACAGTAATCTTTCCACAGCCAAATTTATGAATAGTTACACAAATCATGAATGAAGACAGTAACTAGCCTCTCCTCAGTTTCAGGTCAGGTTTTGCCACCAAAGGAATTCAGGTCAGATTTTGCTTCAAGTGTGTTTTTTTAAGAATCTTTTGGTTTTTCAGATATGTTTGCATTTCGGAATTATAGATATGAAATCATAGATTTATTGATAATATCTTAAAAGTGCCTGGCACATCATAAGTATTGGTTCCTATTATTGGTAGGGGTATATTTCATTTTTAAAATTATGTCCCTAACCCACCAAAGGGATTTCATGGCTTATTGGGTTGGCCAAAAGTTTCATTCGTTTTTTCTCTGTAAGATGACTCTAGTAGCACTTAATTGTCTTTAACTTCATTCAAAACAATTTTGTTAGATTGTATGTGACAGCTGTTAAGCATGCATTTAAAAAAAGACATCAAAATTGGTGAATTTTTGTGTGGCCATTTTAATATTGAAGATGGAAGAAAAAAAGCAACATTTTCGGCATATTATGCTTTATTATTTCAAGAAAAGTAAAAATGCAACCCACACGCAAAAAAAGATTTGTGCAATGTATGGAGAAGTTGCTGTGACTGATCGAATGTGTCAAAAGTGGTTTGCAAAACTTTGTGGTGGAGATTTCTCGCTGGACAATGCTCCATGGTCAGGTAGACCAGTTGAAGTTGATACTGATCAAATCGAGACATTAACTGACAGCAGTCAACGTTATACCATGCGGGAGATAGCCGACATACTCAAAATATCCAAATCAAACATTGAAAATCATTTGCACCAGCTTAGTTATGTCAATCGCTTTGATGTTTGGGTTCCACATAAGTTAAGCAAAAAAAACCTTCTTGACTGTATTTCCACATACGATTCTCTACTGAAATGTAATGAAAACGTTCCGCTTTTTAAACAAATTGTGATGGGCAATGAAAAGTGGATACTGTACAATAATGTGGAATGGAAGAAATCGTGGGGCAAGCGAAATGAACCACCACCAACCACACCAAAGGCGGGTCTTCATCCAAAGAAGGTGATGTTGTGTATATGGTGGGATTGGAGGGGAGTCCTTTATTATGAGCTCCTTCCAGAAAACCAAACGATTAATTCTAACAAGTACTGCTCCCAGTTAGACCAACTGAAAGCAGCACTCAACGAAAAGCGTCCAGAATTAGTCAACAGAAAACACATAAGCTTCCATCAGGATAAGGCAAGACCACATGTTTCTTTGATGACCAGGCAAAAACTGTTACAGCTTGGCTGGGAAGTTCTGATTCATCTGCCATATTCACCAAACATTGCACCTTCGGATTTCCATTTATTTGGGTCTTTACAAAATTCTCTTACTGAAAATTTTCAATTCCCGGAAGACTGTAAAAGGCACCTGGACAAGTTCTTTGCTCAGAAAGATCAAAAGTTTTGGGAAGATGGAATTACGAAGTTGCCTGAAAAATGGCAGAAGGTAGTGGAATAAAAGGATGAATATGCTGTTCAATAAAGTTGTTGGTGCAAATGAAAAATGTGTCTTTTATTTTTACTTAAAAACAGAAGGCACTTTTTGGCCAACCCAATACTTATAGGTTGTGACCCACACTCTGAAAAATGCTGATATATAAATGTTTAACCTGGTCCTTGATACATACTAAGCTCTCGAAATGTTAGAAGGGGAAAAAATACCATCTTATATGTGTATGTTTTAAGTTTGCAGAGTTCTTTTAAGCATATAGTTGCAATTCATGTTCATAGTAACCTTATCAGAAATAAACTAAATAGTTTAACTTTCCTCTTGATCTACTTGAGAGTTTCATGTCTCAGTATTTCTTGTGAAGAACAGTAGGAAATTTAAATAATAATAATAGTACCTCCCAATGGCATTTTTATCTTGATACCTAAAGCATTTTTAAAGTTTATTTTATGTGAAAGATCATTTTGTTGCACAGATAACCAAACAGAACTAAGAAATCAAGCCATTTGCTTAAGGCACAAAATACACTATTTCTACATGGAATTTGTCCAACAGAATATACAGCTTAGGAGCAACTTCCAAAGCATATTTATTATTCAGTCCTTAAAGTGAGCTAAAGACACGCTCAGCTGAAGGCACCTTATAATCTTTGAGTTTTATTTTCTAGTGCTCTTGGAGACATTAAAATAGCTGAAGTGAATGTCAAAGGTTTATGCGTGAAGCTCATTAACTCTTCCCTTGACAAAGAACTGGAAATCGGAAATCATATTCTCCAACAAAATGTGGATGGACAAACAGTCTCTCTGTACCAATTCCTTCCCAATATCATAATGCAGGCCAATTCCACAGTAACAGTGAGTAAAAGATATAAATACTATGAACTAGATTTGTTCAGGAAAAACTCATTTACCCTGTCAGACCATGGCTTAGCACCAGTGGTTTCTTCATCCCTTGATCTCTCTGTTAAATGTGATTTTTTTGGTTGTTGTTGGTTAATTGTGCCACTTCGTCCATCTCTGGATATAAATGAATACCCGTAATTAAATTTCCATAGCTTTCTTCAATTTGGCATACAATACTTTGTGCTTTTATGATTTAACTATCAAAATAAAATACCTAAGTTCCTAAAACTAAGCAAACATAATCTTTAAAGAAAAAACAAAGAGAGGGTTTGTTTAGGCGACACTGGAGAGTTCCCCTCTCTTTCTTGGGCTTTACTCTAAACCACATACAGTAGCTGTTCAGTTACACAGCTTGACATTACATATTATACAGTCATTATATTTTAAAAACCTCACCTGTTTAGAAAGATGTGTTGCAATAACCCTCTGACATTTATAAAACTATGTCGAACTCCAATGGCAATTGTTATTAACAAACTATTTTCTTTCAGGTCTGGGCAGCAGCATCTGAAGCAAAGCACCAGCCACCATCAGATTTTCTTTGGAAGGAACAAAACAGATTTAGGACAAGCCCAAATTGTACAACAATCCTGTGCAAACCTAATGGTGAAGTCAGTGTCCTGTTCTTTTTTTTTTTTTTTTTTTTTGGCTGCGTCGGGTCTTCGTTGCTGCACGCGGGTTTTCTCTAGTTGCGGCAAGCGGGGGCTACTCTTCGTTGTGGTGTGCAGGCTTCTCATTGCGGTGGCTTCTCTTGTTGCAGAGCACTGGCTCTAGGCTCTAGGCATGCGGGCTTCAGTAGTTGTGGCTTGCGGGCTTAGTTGCTCCGCGGCTTGTGGGATCTTCCCGGACCAGGGCTCGAACCCATGTCCCCTGCATTGGCAGGTGGATTCTTAACCACTGAGCCACCAGGGCAGCTCCGAGTCTACTGATTTTTAAACAGGGCTAGATATTTTTCACCAACCACATTGTTGTCCTATATGATTTGCAGCCTCTATATTACGTGTCAAAAATTTAATAGGCATCTTACATGATTCAACGCCTGGGACTTTCCCAATACACTGTTTTCTATTAGAGATTCAGATATGGAACAGACCGCTCCTGTGCCATAGGAACTCAAAGGGCTATTTATATGTACATTATCTCCTTTGATTCTCAGATTATTTAAGCATTTTACAAAGGAAGAAAATGGGGCTTGGAAAGTTAAATGGCTGGCTCAAGGTCACATGATAGGCAAAATGGCAACAGTAAAATAAAACCAGACAAAAGAGCCTACAGGGTTCATATGGTCAACATTCCAGAGGTGAAATTAAAACTTAGCATTTTATCACATTATCACTGTCATTATCATCAGACGTTTTTAAGCCCCCTATAGTACAGGAAGAAATAAAATATTGCCCTTGGCTAGGAAAGGCTTACAATCTAACTGAGAGAGATTGCACTCAAAAGATCATAAACATATTTTCCACGCAAATATCTATGTTTGAGCTGCAAAAAAGGAGAATCCCTAACTGATGAACTGAACCAAAAGTGGAGTTTTCCTGCTGTGAGCCATGAAATTAAACCTTTTAAGAAAGATTGCATCTTTCTCTTTCTTTGCTGTGGGCCTAGCCTAGCTGCACTTGCCTTGTGTTGCTTTTATGTCTGTTTAGCTGGCAAACAAAGGGTTTGGCAATGGTTACAGCATCAACCCAAACCTCTAATTTTATAAACTAAAAACAGATCACGAGAACAAGTAGAATGATAGGGCATACTTCGGTGCCTAACTTTTCTCATGTTGAACAAAAACATAGTTATTAGTCCCTACACGATTTTTCTGAATAATTTTTGTACATATATGTGCACATATATGCCACATATTCAGGAAACCAAAAAAAAAAAAAAAAAAAACCTGCCCACCTAGGATTCTAGCCTGGAGAATGTGGTTTCCTCTCCATGTCTTTAGTTCTAATGCCCATTTCCCCATCTCAAATAAGACTAGATAGATAGATAGATAGATAGAGTCTTAACTATTAAAAATTTAACTTATTAATATTACAACTACTGTTTGCATGGTCCTTTATAGTTACAAAATTCAGTAGCTTAACTGAATCTCACCACACCCGCATAGAACACCCTCACCACCACCCTCCCCATTTTACGTATGAGGACACAGCCCAAGACAGTAGGTGACTAATCTGCCTGAGATTATACAGCTTGTAATTTTCACAACTGGAAACTAAGGCCAGGATGTCTTACTACAGCCTCATCATGTGTTTCACTAATCCTTACACAGGACGTACATGACATTACAGTTTGACTTTGAAATTTTATTGCAATAAGCCTATGTCATTTAAAAAAGAAAAACCTAACTCCAATAGTATTTCATGTCAATAAATCATTTTTGTTAGGCTGTTGCCTGGTACACTCCTGTCCACTGGAAGCAAGCATGGGAGAAATTAGAGACTGACATTGAATGTGACAGATGCTCAGTAGTAAGTCCAGCATCTCAAAGGCACATGTTTCATTGGCCAGCAGCTACAACTACAACTAAAGAAAAACAAGACCAATCTAAGCAAGATATCTCAAAATATCAGGTGGAACGAGTTCAAGCTTCTCTTACAAGGTAAAAGTTGCTTGTTTTCTTTTTTTTTTTAATTAAGTCCTTCCCACAATTAATAAGGGCTGAGCCGGTGGGAGTGACTGGCTGACAAGCAGATATATGATGAATAGGTAAATCAATAAAGACCAAAACACTCCTATTTTGAATAAGACCATAAAAACCATAATAGCTTTTATGTTTTAAAACATAAAAACACAGAACTAGTAGGGTAGACTCGTGGGATGATAAAGGCTGTCAATTTCCACTGGGTGATATCAAGACCCCTCTGGTCATTTCATTCCACAACAGCACTGCTGTTAGAGGTAAGGCCGTGGAGTAGTGCAGAGATGAAGTTATCACCACACCTTTGGCAGTGCTTAGGTGGAAGAAGATTTGCATCGTCTAGAATTTTCATCTTGGATCAAGAGCTGGCTGTGGCTGAAAGAACAGAATTTATGTTATTCATTTGTAGGCAAATGCTTCTGATGTGATAATGGGGCTGCCCACAAAGTCTAGAAAAGCCATATTCTCTGGTCTTGGAACATGCTTTCACTCTAATTGAGCTTTCATTATTAATGCCACTGTATGAAGTGCCTTTGGGGTTCAATTTGGGCTTAATTTTTCTTTTACAGAGAAAAAGAAATCCCACCAACCCTTTTCCCCAATCGCAGCCCCTGGTGCCACAGTCCTCATGTCTCTGCACATCCTTACTGTCCACTGATTGATCCTCACAACACCTACATGACTGAACGCAGCTTAGACAGACAGCCCAGGTCTCAGTCAGCCAAGCCTGATCCAGCCAGGTAAGCCAAAGGGATACTTATTCCAGTGGAGAGTAAGTGGTGAGTGTGTGTGTGTGTGTGTGTGTGTGTGTGTGTGTGTGTAGAACTGGTGGAAAGGTGGTTAAGTTGTAAAAGTCTCTAAGTATTAAAAAGTATTCATATCCTCAAGAACAGATGGCCTCTAAAGCAAGTACCGTGAGCTGTTCACTTATTTGCTCTAGCACAGTATCTGAGTGCATCAACGAATCCAAAGAACAGCATGGCCAGCAAGAGTACATAGGCTTGGGCTTCCCTGGTGGCGCAGTGGTTAAGAGTCTGCCTGCCCATGCAGGGGACACGGATTCGTGTCCCGGTCCGGGAGGATCCCACATGCCGCGGAGCGGCTGGGACCGTGAGCCATGGCCGCTGGACCTGCGTGTCCGGAGCCTGTGCTCCGCAACGGGAGAGGCCACAACAGTGAGAGGCCCGCAAACCGCAAAAAAAAAAAAAAAAGAGTACATAGGCTTCTTGAAGTTTGGTCAAAAGTATAATTTGTTTTTCATTCGGCAGGATAAATTGGTCCGATAAGTTAAGCTGTGCTAAAAAATATCCATCTTTTGCAAACACACTCTAATATTATTCCCAAATTCTTACTCTATTTCACCCAGAAATTTCTTATTTAAATCCTCTAAATAAAGCTTTTAGACTTGGTGTTATTAGCCCAGGATCTGTTAATGGACTTCAGGAAGTCCATGAATCTGGCTAAACTTGGAGAAAAAAATGTATGCCTATATGATGCTTTCTGGCAAGAAAGTCCATGAGGTTCACCAGACGCTGCCAAATGATTAAGAAGAACTGATTAGACACAGTGCAGATTCTAAGCTGTGGAGAAAGACTTTCATGGAGCAGCTGTATCCTGGTGAGGTTATAATTTACAAACCTATACTTAGCAGAGGGATGCTTTTTTATTTTATTTATTTTGTTTTTTTGTGTGTGTGTGGTACGCGGGCCTCTCGCTGTTGTGGCCTCTCCCGTTGCGGAGAACAGGCTCCGGACGCGCAGCCTCAGCGGCCATGGCTCACGGGCCCAGCCGCTCCGCGGCATGTGGGATCCTCCCGGACTGGGGCACGAACCCGTGTCCCCTGCATCGGCAGGCGGACTCTCAACCACTACGCCACCAGGGAGGCCAGGGATGCTTTTTTAAATGAAATCTTTGCAGAATCCCAGTATATGAAATGGATAAAAGGAGACCCGTCCAAGATGAAGAGTGATTCCCACTACCCACTACACCCATCTTCTTCTTTCCTCCTTCCCTGTGACCTTTGAGACACCTCTCTGGAATCACAGGATTCTGTACACACAGTATAAGAACCACCATGTTAGTATGCTAACACATGTTGGGAAATAGCACCCTCCAAAATAATACGTTTTAGAAGTGGAATGATGGAAATTCTGTAAATTCCTGAATGTATTCCATTGCATAAAATTAAGTATCCTATATCTTTGTGCCTGAGTTTCTTCATCTGTAAAGTAAGAGACTTGTGTCTGATATTTAAAGAGCTCTTTCAGCAATGTTTTATATACACATATACATTTAATATACATATATATATTTTATAGACACACATATTTAGTACTTTATGAGTTAGATTTGAGATTTCCAAGAAGTACATTCATGTTTTTTGCCAATTAATGATAGCTTTCACTGTTTTACTTATTTTGAACAACTTGTTTTCCAGAGAAATTTAACTTCAAATTTTCTTGTTGCACCCTTCTATAGTGGTGGCAACTCACCTTGATTATTCAGTAATTTTTCCTATTCAACATAAATTTCACTGTATTTGTATATTTTTTTATTTATTTATTTTTGGCTGCGTTGGGTCTTCATTGCTGCGTGTGGGCTTTTTCTAGTTGCGGCGAGCAGGGGCTACTCTTCGTTGTGGTGCACGAGTTACTCATTGCGGTGGCTTCTCCTGTTGCGGAGCACGGGCTCTAGGCACACGGGCTTCAGTAGTTGTGGCTCACAGGCTCTAGAGCACAGGCTCAGTAGCTGTGGCACACGGGGTTAGTTGCTCCACAGCAAGTGGGATCTTCCCGGACCAGGGCTTGAACCCATGTCCCCTGCATTGGCAGGCGGATTCTTAACCACTGCACCACCAGGGAAGTCCTGTATTTGTATATTATGTAATGATAATTTTATTTATTTATTTTTGCGGTACGCGGGCCTCTCACTGTTTTGGCCTCTCCCGTTGCGGAGCACAGGCTCCGGACGTGCAGGCTCAGCGGCCATGGCGCACGGGCCCAGCCACTCCGCGGCATGTGGGATCCTCCCGGACTGGGGCACGAACCCATGTCCCCTGCATCAGCAGGCGGACTCTCAACCACTGCGCCACCAGGGAAGCCCTGTAATGATAATTTTAAAAGAGAGTTGCTTTGATACCTTCAGGGTCTCTGTTCATCATTACATACTTTTTAAATTTTCTATTCATTAAATTTTCAATATTAACAGATATACATCAGAATTTTAAGAGTTTTTCTTTGATTTCAATTGAGAAAGATGGCCACAAAGAGACAGATGTTATGAATGACTTGTTGATCATTGATTGGGTAACAGCAGTCCCTGAATCAACAGTTCATTTCCTTGAAAAAATATGTAACAGGATTCTTCAAGCGAAAGTTACCTTGTCTGCTAATTAGCCAGTCTCTTTTTAATTTGCTTACCATTGGGCTATTTGCTATCAGTAGCACACTCCTCAATAATTGACAAAGAAAAAAAGAGATAAAACAAAAATTCACCAATTTTACTCAAAATTTCTTCAATCCTGCTTCTTCCCCTCTACAGTGATAAATAGGCTAGTTTGCTGAGTTACAGAAGAAAGAATCTCAGTTGCATGTGACTCTTCTACTGGGAATAGCTGCCTTGTTTTTAACTGCGCCTCTCAAATATATTACAGAAGAGCTTAGAGACTAACAATTAAGATAATTTTAAAGAAACATCTACACATCTCATGCTTACTTTATACCAAGCACATTTTGTTTTTTAAACATGTTAAAATACAGAAAGTATAGAGGATAACGTTAAAAGCACCCATGTACTTATATTTAAAGATTAATGCATGCTAACACTTTGTCATATTGCTTCACATTACCAAAAATCCCATAAATTTGAAATCCCCTTTGATCGTCTTTTGAGTTCTGATATGAAATAGGAATAAGTCATTCTGGTCCTCATTATCACACTTTAATTACATATATATTAATTCATAAAACATGTATAGTATAATTGATGTATTTTTAATTTACATAAATGGCACTAAATACAGCGCATGACACATAATAGTTTAATACATGTTTGATGAAGGACAGACAGAATAGGAGACACTGAAGGTTTTTAAACAGGCATCTTATAGAGTTATATCTGCATTTTAAAGAGAATTTTGGAAGCAGTGTTGAAAATGAAGTGGAGTGGAAAATATTCCAAAATCTAGGAGGAAAGAAGGAAGGAAGGAAAGAATAGAAAAGTAAGAAGAAGATAAAGAAGAACAAAGCAGGTTAGAAAAAGAGACTGGGGACAAGTTGGTCTTGTAGAGTTATAATTTGAGTCCCAAAAGGACAGGAGAGCAAGACTGGGGCAGAAGTAATATTTAAAGAAATAATGACAAAAATCTCAAAAATTGATGAAAGGCATCAAGCCACAGAAACAAGAAAAATAAATTCTAAGCAGCACAAATCCAAAGGAAACTACACCTATATATTATAATAAAACTTCAGAAAACCAAATAATGGAAGTCAGAAGACAATGGAATGAAATCTTCAGTGTGCTATTGTACTAAAAAGAACTATCCTAGAGTTCTATACCAAGCAAAAATCAACTTCAAAAAATGAGGTGAAATAAAGACATTCTCAGGCAAACAAAAGCTGAGAGAATTCGTCAACAGCAAACCCACATTAAGGAAATACTTCAACTAGAAAGAAAATGGTCTTAGAAGGATGCACAGAGATGTTGGAAGAAGTGAAAAAAAATGCAGAGTCAAAACATGGATCAACATAAATGAATATTCACTACACAAAACAATACTAATATTGCCTCATAGGGTTTAAAATATAGAGAGAATCTAAATACATGACAACTGTATTAGTTTCACAGGGCTACCATAACAAAGTACCATAAACTCGGTGGCTTAAAACAACAAATCTATTCTCTCACAGTTCTGGAGACTAGAAGTCAAATCAAGTTGTCACCAGGGCCAAACACTCTCTCTCTGAAGGTTTTAGGGGATTATCCTTGCTTGCCTCTTCTTACCTTCTGTTGGTTGCTGGCATTCCTTGGTATTTCTTGTCTTGTAGATACATCACTCTAACCTCTGCCTCCATCTTCACATGATCTGTGTATCTGTGTCCATACTTCCTTCTTCTTTTAAGGACACGAGTCATTGGATAAGGCACACTCTAATCTAGTATGACATCATCTTAACAATTTCATCTACAAAGACCCAGTTTCCAATTCACAACCTCAAGGGGTTAGGACTTCAACATACATTTAGGAGGGACAAAATTAACCTATAATAACAACAGCAATAGCACAAAAATTGGGAGGGGAGTAAATGGAGTTAAAGTACTCTAAATCCCATGAGTTGTCCAATAAGTTATAAAAGTAACAATTTATATTAGACTTTAGTAAATCAAGTATGCATGCTGGAATCTGGGATAAACACTGAAAGAATAGTATACGAATGTTGTGTTTCTGACATATATTTCATACTTTCATCATCATTCAGTTCAAAATATATTCTAATTTTCAATGTGACCTTCTTTGAGACATGGGTTATTTGGGGATAATATATCATAAACAAAGTGGATGTATTTCAAAAATGCAAAGTTGGTTCAAGCTTTGAAAATTAATTAGTTAACAGAATAAAGAAGAAAATTATAACCATCTCAATAGATATAGAAAAATCATTTGATAAAATTCAATACCCACCCATGAGGAGAAAACCTTAGAAAATTAGGATTATAAAGAATTTCCTTTATATCTACAAAAATCCTAATGCAAACTATCATACTAAATGGTGAAGTAATTGAAGTTTTCCCCTTGAGATTCAGCTCAAGGCAAGAATTCTCTTTATGATTACTTCTGTTCAGCATTGTACCAGAAGTCCGAGTGCAATAAGGCAAGAAAAATGAATTTACAAATATTCCATAATTCATCAGTTTTATTCCCAGGAATTATATATGCCTAACAAATACATACACATGTGGACCAAATGACAAATACAATAATCATAGCAACTCTATTTGTATTAGCCAAAATGTAGAAGCAATCCAATTGTTCATCAACAATAACATGGATAAATTATGATATATTAATACAATCCCATAAGCAATGAATACTAACTACTGTTACATGCAATAACACCATTGAATCATATGAGCATGATACTGAACAAAAGATGCCATACCGAAAGGAACATATATTATACGATTCCGTTTATATAAAATTCAAAAACATACAAAACTATGCCATGGTGTCAAAGGTCAGAATAGTGTTATCTCTGGAAGAAAGAAAGGACTAGTACTTGAAGGTTACACAAAACTGCCTCTAGAATACTAACAATGTTCCATTTCTTGATCTGAGTGGTGCTTACATGAATCGCTGTTTTCATCGTGCTGTACAGTTATGACTTGTGAACTTTTCTGCATGTATGTTATACTTATAAAAGTTTATTTTTAGAAACTTGATGACAAAGGAAAATTAGAAAGGGAAGAAAGCATAGTTACAGTAATGAGCACTGACAACTTATACCCTGACAAGGAAGGAGAAAGAAAATCTAAAAAAATAGACTGATGAGCTCAAAATAAATGTGAATAATATGAGGCTTATTTAGTGTAGGAGAAAAATAGTCTTAATTTTCTGAAATATGTCTAATCATATCAATATATTGCAATGTGTTCGTCTTATTATAGTTCATCAGAGCGCAGTCATTTCCAGGAACATCTCATGGCAGAGATGGCTAATTACTGCCCCTAAACCATTGTTCCTTTAGACACAAGACCCATAGGTCCAGGGAAACCTAAACTCATGGCCATCAAGAATAAAGCCTGTTTTTCTCAGTCTCTGTATCTAGGCGGAACCATGTGTCTACATTCTGTATGATAGAATGTGGACAGAAATTGTGTGCACAGCATCTGGATCATGCCCTTGGACAGTGTGCTCCTCTGTGTCACCTCTGTGCCATGATTACAGGGTGGAGCTGCCATCTTTCAAGTCAGGGATGAAGCTATGTGTTGAGGATAGAAAAGCCATCCTAAATGCCCTGTACTGGCACATCTCCAGACTAAGAGAGAGAGAAACCATCTTGTGTCAGCCATCGTTAAGTCTAAACGAGATGGCCCACATGGGATCACTACCATTTAGTTTCACTTAACAGACTACTGATCAAAAAGAAAACAAAAATCTCAATCTCAGCTAGAAAGGACATTTTTAAGACAATTAGGTAAATTTAAATATAGAATGAATGTTAGATATTGACAAATCACTGTGCTTTCCTTAGGTGTGTTAATTTTATTGAGGTTATATTCGTTGTTCATAGATCCATTCAGAAATCTTTATTTGATTCCTAAAGGTTTGGTGTGGTATAAGCATAGATAGATAATGCAAATGTGCCAAAATATTAATTAGTGAATCTGGGTGACAGGTATACAGATGTGGTTGTATTATTCCTTCATATTTTCTGTATGTATGGAATCTTCCACAATAAAAATTTAAAAAAAAACAAGAAAGACACTTTTGATAGAATGTAGTATGCACTTGGAGATATTAGAGCAGGAGTCCTCAACCCCTGGGCCATGGACTGGTACTGGTCTGTGGCCTGTTAGGAACTGGGCCACACAGCAGGAGGTGAGCGGCAGGCGAGCAAGCGAAGCTTCATCTGTATTTACAGCCACTCCCCATCGCTCGCATTACCGCCTGAGCTCCGCCTCCTGTCAGATCAGCTGTGGCATTAGATTCTCAAGGGGAAGAACCCTACTGTGAAGTGCGCGTGAGAGGGATCTAGGTTGTGCGCTCCTTATGAGAATCTAATGCCCGATGATCTGACGTGGAGCTGAGGCGGTGATGCTACTAGCGCTGGGGAACGGCTGCAAATACAGGTTATCATTAGCAGAGAGGTCTGACTGCACAGAGACCACAATAAATCAACTGCTTGCAGACTCATATCAGAACCCTATCAGTGAGTGGCAGGTGACAGTTAAGCTGCATCTGGTGGCAGGCTTTCAGTCAGAATCTGACACGTATTTCAGTCCGTGCGTGGCCCACCCATTATTTTATTTACCTCTTCCATCCGCGCCTCTTTCCCACACTGCGCACTTCTCTCAGTCACAGTTTTGGTAAGCCCACAAGCTAACCCTAGTCAAAATGAGTAAAACACAAATGTCGCTGGAGAGCTTCTTTGAAAAGGGGGAAAGACCCAATGATGAGACAGCAGAAGACTCTAAGACTGCCAACAAAATGAAAGCTGTATTTAAAAGAAAATACCAAGAGTCCTATTTAAATACGGGTTCATTGCAACAGGTGTTTCACATTCTCCAAGCCCATTTTGTGTAATATGTGGTGACCCGCTATCCAACGAAGCCATGAAACGCTTCGCCACATAGAGACCAAGCACCCTGCATTAAAAGACAAGCCTTTGGAGTTTCTCAAAAGAAAAAAACATGAACACGAAGAACAGAAGCAATTATTGAAGGCCACAACTTCCTCAAATGAGTCTGCACTGAGAGGATCATTCTTAGTGGCTAACCGCATTGCTAAAGCTGAGAAGCCCTTAGTATTGGTGAAGAGTTGATCCTGCCTGCTGCTAAGGACATTTGTCATGAACTTTTAGGAGAGGCTAGCACCATAATTAGACGAATTGATGAAATAGCAGAGGATACTGAGGCGCAGTTGTTGGAGAGGATTAATGAGTCACTGTGGTACTCAGTCCAGGTTGACGAGTCTACTGATGTTGACAAGGCAACAATGCTTGTTTTTGTGCGATATATTTTTCAGGAGGATGTGCATGAGGATATGTTACGTGCACTTTTGTTGCCAGCCAACACCACAGCTGCAGAACTATTCAGGTCTTTGAATGATTGATTACATATCAGGAAAACTGAATTGGTCACTTTGTGTCGGTATATGCACAGACGGAGCGGCTGCCATGACTGGATGGCTTTCTGGTTTCACTACTCAGGTCAAAGAGGTCGCTTCTGAATGTGAGTCTATGCACTGTGTCATCCGTAGAGAAATGCTGGCTACCCGAAAAATGTCACCTGAACTTAACAGTGTTTTGCAGGATGTGATTAAAATTATCAACCACATTAAAGTACATGCCCTTAACCCACGTCTGTTCACGCAGCTCTGTGAGGAGATGGGTGCAGAGCACACACGTCTTGTCTGATACACAGAAGTGAGATGGCTTTCTAAAGGTAGATCACTGGCCAGAGTTTCTGAGTTATGAAAGCCGCTCCAGAGATTTCTTTTAGAAAAACCGTCACCACTGGCAGCACATTTCAGTGACACAGAATGGGTCGTAAAACTTGCTTACTTGTGTCACGTATTCAACCTGCTCAACGAACTCAATCTGTCATCTCAGGGGAGAATGACAACTGTGTTCAGGTCGGCAGATAAAGTGGCTGCCTTCAAAGCCAAACTGGAATTATGGGGGCGACAAGTGAACATTGGGATTTTTGACATGTTTCAAACATTAACAGAGATTTTGAAAGAGACTGAGCCAGGGCCTTCTTTCTCCCAGCTGGGGCATGATCACCTGTCTCAGCTTTCAGAAGAGTTTGAGCATTACTTCTTAAGCACAGAAGACCCCTGAATTGGGAAGGAATGGATCTGCGACCCATTTGTGAATAATCGACTTTGTCCATGCTAGAAGAGGATCAACTGCTTGAGACTGCAAATGACGGTGGCCTTAAAAGTATGTGTGAGACAACTTCAAATCTCCATACGTTCTGGATTAAAGTCAAGCCGGAATATCCTGAGATTGCCGCAAAAGCATGAGGAGTCTGCTTCCATTTCCAACATCCTATCTTTGTGAAGCAGGGTTTTCTGCAGTGACGGTGACCAAAGCGAGATCACGGAGTAGACTGAACGTAAGTAACACACTTGGGTGTCACTGTCTCTCATCCCCCCCAGATGGGACCATCTAGTTGCAAGAAAACAAGCTCAGGGCTCCCACTGATTCTGCATGATGTGAGTTGTATAATTATTTCACTATATATTACAGTGTAATAAGAATAGAAATAAAGTGCACAATAAATGTAATGCGCTTGAATCATCCTGACACCATCCCCCCACCCCACCCCCCGCCGTCCGTGGAAAAATTGTCTTCCACGAAACTGGTCCCTGGTGGCAAAAAGGTTGGGGACCGCTGTATTAGAGCACAGAGGCAAGGCACTGACCACAGCATAACAGAGTCCCACTTGGAAAGGCTATGGACCCTTTAACAAAGCAGATGTGTTTGCATTATTCTGCCGCCATTGTTCCCAGTCCAAGCATGCGCTTTCTTCTTGCTGAAAATAGCTGACAGACTGTGGACAACTTTGTCAGATTCCTTCTGTAACTCGAATCAAATGGCAGAAACTAGCCGGCAGAGATTATCCTACAGACATTGCTTTAAGCTAACAGTGTGGGGGTGTGCCCTGTTTAAGGCACTGTATTTGCACACTAATATGCTTGCCTATCATCTGTCATCCATGTTACACACTGCAGTGGCATTCATTTTAATTGTGGACTCGACAGCTGCTACCGTCTTCCATAAAAATGTTATTATAGTAATAATAACAATAATGTTCCTTAGTTTCTGAGGGTTGCAGAGCCACACTTTAAAAGTCAATCTGTTAGAAAACAAATGAAACTTGAACATAGATAACAGTATACAGGAATGGAACAGTTAAAATCTCATCAGGGGCTTCCCTGGTGGCGCAGTGGTTGAGAGTCCGCCTGCCGATGCAGGGGACACGGGTTCGTGCCCCTGTCCGGGAAGATCCCACATGCCGCGGAGCAGCTGGGCCCGTGAGCCATGGCCGCTGAGCCTGCGCGTCCGGAGCCTGTGCTCCGCAACGGGAGAGGCCACAACAGTGAGAGGCCCGCGTACCGCAAAAAAAAAAAAAAAAATCTCATCAGTGTAAGCTCTATAGTAAGATCACATTAATGGAATTTTACTTTAGTTAAACTGTGGGTCTGACTCACTGCATTTCAATAGATCCAGTCTATCTGTTCTGGGATCAAAGTATTTTTTTCCCATAAGAATATACTTCCAGAGCTTCGCTGGTGGCACAGTGGTTGAGCATCCGCCTGCCACTGCAGGGGACACGGTTTCGAGCCCTGGTCCAGGAAGATCCCACATGCCGCAGAGCAACTAAGCCCGTGTGACACAACTACTGAGCCTGCGCTCTGGAGCCAGTGAGCCATGGCTTCTGAGCCCACACACCACAACTACTGAAGCCCGCGCACCAAGAGCCTGTGCTCTGTAACAAGAGAAGCCACCGCGATGAGAAGCCCGCGCACCACAATGAAGAGTAGCCCCGTTCACCGCAACTAGGGAGAAGCCCTCACGCAGCAATGAAGACCCAAAACAGCCAAAACTAAATAAATAAAATAAATAAAAATTAAAAAAATATATATATACTTCCAATCCATGATGGTAACAAAGCAAAACAAATACAAGTTTGAAATTTTCTTTATGCATTCTTCATATTAGTATCTGTTCTGTTTACTCGTGTTTAGACCTGTATTGCATTGTTTACATTTCGCAGATTAAGAATTTGGAACGTCGAAGGTCACTTATATGACTGGCCAGATTTTCAGTTAATATATGTGTGTGTATGTATGTATATATATATATATATGTACGTATATATATATATGTATATATATACACACATATGTCAGTATTAGTCAACAATATAACTAGAAATTGTATGAATTGATATATAGAAATTTTAAAACAAAATACCTGACTATCCTCTGGAATATAGAAGGCCAAATACTTGGACCTCTTACAATCACACTAAATAGAAAATAATTACTTGTAAGAACACTACAAAATGCCAAGGGTTTCAGTTCATTTTTTATTATAAAATAATAACATCAAAAAAGTAGGAACTCTTTTATAAAGGAAAATCATATTAAATCATGTATTTAAAAGTAAAGATTTTTCTCTTCTGTTGCTTGATTTCAGAAAATTCCGATTGCAATATCACAATACTTCTGTAGGAGTTTCTTTTTTTAAAAAATAGACAAGTGAGGGCTTCCGTGGTGGCGCAGTGGTTGAGAGTCCGCCTGCCGATGCAGGGGACACGGGTTCATGCCGGGGTCCGGGAAGATCCCACATGCCGCGGAACGGCTGGGCCCGTGAGCCATGGCCGCTGAGCCTGCGCTCCACAACGGGAGAGGCCACAGCAGTGAGAGGCCCGCGTACCGCGAAAAAAAAAAGACAAGTGAGAACCATTTATATGTCTCTTCTTAGAGCTGAAATAAAGGTTTCTTTAATGACGCTATAAAGAATTCCAAGATATTAGTCTTTTTTTGAAAATATTTTGTTATAAGCTTAACTTTTTTTTTTTAACATCTTTATTGGAGTATAATTGCTTTACAATGCTGTGTTAGTTTCTGCTTTATAACAAAGTGAATCAGTTATACATATACATATGTTCCCATATCTCTTCCCTCTTGCAGTCTCCCTCCCTCCCACCCTCCCTATCCCACCCCTCTAGGTGGTCACAAACCACCAAGCTGATCTCCCTGTGCTATGAGGCTGCTTCCCACTAGCTATCTATTTTATGTTTGGTAGTGTATATATGTCCATGACACTCTCTCACTTTGTCACAGCTTACCCTTCCCCCTCCCCATATCCTCAAGTCCATTCTCCAGTAGGTCTGTGTCTTTATTCCCGTCTTACCCCTAGGTTCTTCATGACCTTTTTTCTTTTTCTTAGATTCCATATATATGTGTTAGCATACGGTATTTGTTTTTCTCTTTCTGACTTACTTCACTCTACATGACAGACTCTACGTCCATCAACCTCCCTACAAATATCTCAATTTCGTTTCCTTTTATGGCTGAGTAATATTCCATTGTATATATGTGCCACATCTTCTTTATCTATTCATCCGATGATGGACACTTAGGTTGCTTCCATGTCCTGGCTATTGTAAATAAGCTGCAATGAACATTTTGGTACATGACTTTTTTTGAATTATGGTTTTCTCAGGGTATATGCCCAATAGTGGGATTGCTGGGTCATATGGTAGTTTTGTTTTTGAAGGAACCTCCATACTGTTCTCCATAATGGCTGTACCAATTCACATTCCCACCAACAGTGCAAGAGTGTTCCCTTTTCTCCACACCCTCTCCAGCATTTATTGTTTGTAGATTTTTTGATGATGGCCATTCTGACTGGTGTGAGATTATATCTCATTGTAGTTTTGATTTGCATTTCTCTAATGATTAATGAAGTTAAGCATTCTTTCATGTGTTTGTTGGCAATCTGTATATCTTCTTTGGAGAAATGTCTGTTTAGGTCTTCTGCCCATTTTTGGATTGGGTTTTTTTGTTGTTGTTATTGAGCTACATGAGCTTCTTGTAAATCTTGGAGATTAATCCTTTGTCAGTTGCTTCATTTGCAAATATTTTCTCCCATTCTGAGGGTTGTCTTTTGGTCTTGTTTATGGTTTCCTTTGCTGTGCAAAAGCTTTGAAGTTTCATTAGGTCCCATTTGTTTATTTTTGTTTTTATTTCCATTTCTCTAGGAGTTGGGTCAAAAAGGATCTTGCTGTGATTTATGTCATAGAGTGTTCTGCCTATGTTTTCCTCTAAGAGTTTGATAGTGTCTGGCCTTACATTTAGGTCTTTAATCCATTTTGAGCTTATTTTTGTGTATGGTGTTAGGGAGTGATCTAATCTCATACTTTTACATGTACCTGTCCAGTTTTCCCAGCACCACTTACTGAAGAGGCTGTGTTTTCTCCACTGTATATTCTTGCCTCCTTTATCAAAGATAAGGTGACCATATGTGTGTGGGTTTATCTCTGGGCTTTCTATCCTGTTGCATTGACAAGATATTAGTCTTAATGACAGAATGATTGTGTAACTTCATGACTAGGTCTTTTATTTCAAAACATTTCAACATTACAAAACAAAAGTATTTTAAAGTTATGAAAGAGTATCTCATTTATGGAAATATGTCGTTAATGATCCATTTCTTCACACAAGTAAAAAAAATACTATTTTAGGAAGTCCAA